TGCTCGAGAAGAGCTTACAGGTGTTAGGCATGGCAACACCACGAAGTGTACTGCCTGATTTCTTAAATGTGCATCGTGGACGATTTCTGGCTACACATCCAAACTCAGTTCTGTCCTAAGGCTTACTAATTGATAGCCTGCCTAGAGAAGAGGGTGGAGAAGGGAGAAAAGAAACCACTGAAAAATCAAATTTGGTGTGTAAACCCACGTGAGAAACCCGTTCTACCCTCCTGGCATTTAAAAGCATGCCCTCACATTGAGTTGGCATGTGCGGAGTTGCCCTTTCGGAGAGAAAGGGTCTGATCTGGTTAGAGAGGTTAGTGGGCACATGGAAAGTAGCAGGGAACTCTCTGATTTTTGAAGTACAGGGGGATGTACCATGTGTTATTTATCCAAATATATGACCATTTATTGTCTCTGGGACTCAAGGTCCCCCTCCCCCACCGAATTCACCGTCGTTGCCGTGAGCTGTCGTCACCGTACACACGCAATACAGTTGCAGCTTCTCTCGTAGGCATATTGCTGGGTCCCTTAGTCAGGAGGCAAAAGCCAACGTTCCCTGGGTACTTCATGTGTGTCAGAACATCCCATGTCTATATCGCTCTTGCCATCCCTCAGCCACCCTGAGTGTACCTTGCAGAAGGACTTCTACGTGTATCCCAGGAAGGTGGGACGGTCGTTACTGACTGCTCCCAGGGAGGTCAGTGTCTGTGCTGCCTTAATTCACCTGGGGAAAGCGGGGGGGACAGCCTGTGAGAAACTGTCTCGGGAGAAGCTGGTGTGACTTGGTTATTTAATACCAAACAAGCAGAGTGCCTGCTTTTTGTATGATTTTTATGCTACGGTACTCACATTCAGTGTGGTGAGATTGCTGCCGAAGGCTGCCCCCGAAGAGCTGCAAGAACAGGAGCCCATTGAACTCGTGCTGGTTCTGTTGCATGTCTTAATGAAGCTTTAAAATGCTTGAAATTGTCTTTGAAATGAAGTATTCCATAGCTGCAAGCTAACTGCATACTTTGTAATAATTGCTTAGCCAAATAAAGAAAAATTGTGAGGAACAAAGAAAAATCAGATTGATGGCTAGAAGAAAATGATTAAATAAAAAATTCATGAAGAAGAGAAATTTAAAAAAAGCATGGCATCACAGGCTTTTGCACAAAGACTTCCCTTCCAATGGGATTTTTTCTTTTCCAACTATTTCTGTGCATTTTACTCTCCCTGTTTGCTACGAATATTAGAAAAACTTTTTCTGTGGGAATAGTGGGGAAGATGGTCACAAATTTATGCAGAAACTGGGGCACAGAGTAAAATTCAAAAGCAGAGGTATGCATTTCACTGCCGTTCTGAGTGGGGGTATGGTGCACTGTAAATAATTAATGATTCAACTGGAATTGCCTTTTTTTAAACTCTTAAATCAACTGTAACTAAACAGAAAAACCCCAGAAAGACTTCTGTTCATAATTATCAGCCCAACTTGTATGTTTAGAGCCCATCCTCATTCAAATTTACTGCTCTTAGTGGCTGTTGATAACACAGAATGAAAAATTTGGTGTGAATAAATTCTCTCGTGCTTAGCCTTTCTCTCTGTTTGCAGGTTAGGACCAGCAGATCATTATTTGTGGACATGTATTAATGTCCAAAAGTATCTGAGAAGTGTGCAAACATTTGTTTTGAACAAATTATTTTTGAAGAATCAGTATACCCTCAGGTCTTGTGTCCTTGCTATGGCATGAAAAAACATTCTGGCATGATTTTAAATTACAGTGCATTTAGGAAGAAAATACAGAAGATAGTTACAGTGAACAGTAGGACTTGAGGGAAATACCTACAAGCTAGTACAGGCATTTTAAAATAGGAATATTACTGTAAAGTCTTTAGGTGACGTGTGGTAATAGATATTTAATCTAGCCAAAGCACTTTCATTGCTTACTTGTTAAAGTAATTTAATGGATGAGTGATGCTATTAACGGACCACATGCAGAATCCAGACTATTTTTGTTCAAAACATTCTTTTAGGGTTTAAATTTCTAAACAAGCTCAAGAGGCAATTTGAAGAGATCTAGCCTATATGCAAGCTATGGGAATCAACATTTGTGAACTTTTCTTCTTCTTCTTAGCATTTCCTCTGCATTTAGAAGAAAAAGGAAATCACTCTGTATACTTATGTACGACTTTAAGTCATCTGACTGATACGCCTTGTTTTGAGAAGGTTGTTAGAAGCCAGAGACTGAATAAATAGATGTATGTGATTGAGCATGCAGAGAGGAAGAGTTAAACAGAGAGCTTAAAAACACTTGTAAGTGATCTGAACAAACATGCAATTTTAATCTTCCCTTCATTAATTTTTTTGGGAGAGTTGCATTAGTAATATCTGTAGCATAGTTCTTGCAAAAAGTTTAAGCAAAAAAGCAAAAACCTTAAATCTAAGCAAAACCAGCCTTTCTTCCCTCCCCAGCACTTTGGGTTGCAGGAAGGATTGAAGATAAAAATCTGGAAAACAGATGATCAGGTAATAAATACAAACTTTTAAGTTGGTATTTTAACACCAGTTAGTATGATAAAAGTCCTGCTATTTTGAACAGTTGCAGAAGTTCATTGATAACCATTGCAGTTTTCCTTCAGCTAGTACTTCATTTCTTTTCTGAACACATGGCTATGTATTGCTGAAACTCAGGTATCGCCTATACAGAGTATAGACTTGGGGAAATAATCTGCTGTAAATGTCTCTGACTTCATGAGGATCACTGCACGGTCACATAGTTTAGTGAAGAATTAAAATGTGGTTGTTGACTCCAAGATCAGCCGTTTCCAAATAAATGTTTGTGAAACCTCCAACTTTAATAGCTGCATTGTATCGCCCAAAAGATGTGCAACAGAATGAATAGATGACCTTTCACATAGAGAACAAGCTGTTCACAATGTCTTTTTTATTTACTGAGACAAAATATTCTTTTTATACAGAGATAATACTTTCCACCGTTTTTAACAATGTTGATGAAATGTAAAGAATTTAATTGTTTTGTTTCTGAATGCAAGGGGTTTTAGCTGTGCGTCTTCAGATCAGGACTCTTGTTAGACCAGCTGTGTTAAATGCATTGATCTATCTAGATTTTGTTCTTTTTTTAAAGACAATGTAGGTATTTTGAATCCCATGCTCACAGGCTGGGATGTCGTTAGCTATCCATCCATGTGATAGCCACATGATACCTGGCTTTGAATGATATATGGGTGAATTCTTATTGCCATCCTGCACCACAGCTGTGGGGTCAATAATTTACTGACAAGGAGGTCCAAGGCAGCTGTAACTGAAATTGGTCTAAATTATTGTGAAATTGCAGCCTTATCGTGAAAAGCTGCTGGGATGCTGCTGCGCACGTGTATACAAGCACTACCTTGGACCGGCACAGATCATGAACAAATGGTGAGAAAATCGGGATAATGAAATGGGGACTCAGCCTTATCCCTTTTAATGTGAGGTATGGCTTGGCCCTTAGTCTTTACAGTTGTAAATCCACCACTTAAATCGCAACGGGATAATTGGTACTAACTAGTAACAACTAGTTACAGTAGTAAAGTATTTTTTGCTCTGTAATATAACCAGAATTACTTCTGTTATTGTTCAGCTGCTGCTGTTCCTGTTGTTGTCCAAACCTGTGCTCTTGTGAAAGGAAACACGGTATATTTGCTGGTATTCAAAGAAATACAGTGAACAGGAACTCTTCAAAACTCGAGGAAAGCCTTGCCATTTTGGGAAGAAAAAACAAAACAAAAAAACTCGAACACAAACATTTTTATTTGGGGGTTGAAAAGATCAATGTAATTCTCTTGTCTGTTTGCAGGAAGCTAAAGATTTTGTTGTTTGTGAACCAAATACAAATTGATTCCTGGATCAGCCATCATAGATGAGTAATCTATTAAAATTGGAAGGAAGTTTATTAAAGAACTGTAGAATATTTTCAGTTCGAAGGGATCTGTGAAGACATCTCGTCCAGCTCCTGCTCGAAGCAGGTCCAGTAAAATCAGGATGCTCAGGGCATCCCCAGGCAAGCCCTGTATATACCTGATGTTGGATAGTCTGTCTAGGCAACGTGTCCCAGTGCTTGACCCTCTTCACAGGAGAAAAAAACCAAAAAATCCCTTGTATCTAGGCAAATCTTATATTGTTGCAATCTCTGATGGTTGCCCCTTGTCATTTTGCTGCACACCTCCAGGAAAAGTCTGGCTTGGCCTTATTTCTACTCTGCCTTTGAGTTGAAGACCACCGCAAGATTGCCCCCGAGTCCTCTCACCCTAGAGCAAACATAGTCCTTTCTCAGCCTCCCTGCTGTGTGCGGTAAAGGTTTGGAAGAATCCTAAAACTAATGTGGCATGGGAATGAGGAATGAGGACGTTACACTGAGGCCCGAACCATCAGTGCGGTTCCTCCTGAGAGCCGGAGCTGCTACAGCTGCAGTGGGTGGAGACGGCTGAAGTATCATGGTCACAGAACCATAGAATCTTTGGGTTGGAAGGGACCTTTAGAGGCCATCTAGTCCAACCCCCTTGCAATGAGCAGGGACATCTTCAACTAGACCAGGTTGCTCAGAGCCCCGTCCAACCTGACCTGTAATGTTTCCAGGGATGGGAAATAAGGTGGTTCAACTATTTATTTGAAAGGAAAAAATCCCTCACTTTAGGAATTCAACTTTCTAAAAATTAAGTATGCGTTTAAGTGAATAATCATTCATTCTGACCAGAAGAGCTACAGTATGATGAGCTGGGCCCCAAGGAGAAATAAGCAAACTCAAATCCCATCACAGAATGCTGAAGTACCTTCAGCCCATTTTTGTAACACTGATGGAAACCAGATGGAGGAAGAAACCTTCCATAATGTAATTAAATAAACCTTAGAGGAAACTACTCAGCACTTATGGTGGTGGCCACAAGACTAACGAGCTAAAGATATGAATATCTTTAATTCATGCATCTCAACTACTCTGTGTAGATGTTAATCACAGGACATGGCAATGACAGTTTTCTCTCTCCTATTACTAAAAGCTTCTGAATTTCCAGAACAACTTAGCTGGTGGAAAGGTTGCTTTGCCTGCAGCAGCGCCAACCAGGAGGGTGGTGTTCGTGATAAGGACTCTTTCTTACTGATTCCTGAACTGCGGCTTATTTTCCTGCTTGTTGGTTCCTTGAGAAATGAGGATGTGCTTGTTAAATAGGGATCTGATCTCTGCAGTGGCAGCATGTTGTTAACTGTTTGAAACTTGAAGATTGATATATTCCGTACGCTTTGGACTTCTGTTTTCAGGGGGGATCCTATTCCTGCCATGCGCGCTAACAGGAGCAGATACTCTCTTCCTCCTCTCAGTGATATATTCTACCTTGGGCTTTTTTGTCTTCCTCTGCAGAAACTCTCCTGGATGACTTCCTTCTCACGTACACAGTCTTCATGACGACTGATGACTTGTGCCAGGCGCTTCTGAGGCAATATCCTTTTATTAAGTGTTACACCTAGGTTTGTGTATTGTTAAGCCTTATATCAAATGTTGTAAACTGCATGCCTGGGCTAATTGGTTTTGCTCTTTGCATATTGATATTATTGAAATACAAACCCTGCATGATTATTTTGAGGTTGCATGTAAAAATGGTGAAAAAGAGAACGATTGTCTAGTATTTACTATGGCACACTTAACAGGTGGACTGCACCTGGGGTTTTGGTATCAGACCCCAAGAAGTGCATGAACAAATAGGAGAAACTTCAGAAGAAAGCAATGGGAATTATCTGTATTCTAGGAAAAAAAGACCTACAAAGAAAGATTGAAAGAATTGGGATTGTTCTACTGAAAAAGGGAAACCATGAATGGGACAGTCTTCAGGTACCAAAGGGGAAGGGAAGAATCTGTTCCCATATCACTGCTGGATGGGACAAGAGGCAGTGAGATGAAATTGCTACAAGACAGTTTCATGTTAGATACCAGGAAATACTATTTTTTTACATTAAGAAAAGAAACACTGGAGTGGAAAATGTGTGAGACAGTAGAATCTTTGATATTAGAGAATACTAAGAAGAAGAAACTAGAAATGTATTTTAAGGATAACCTAGGATGTACTTGAGCCTCTCTTAGGGTGTACTAGTTAGGGTGGACTTGGATGGACTAGTTTAGCTGATCTTACAAGGTCTCTTCTCCAGTCCAATTTTCATAAGGTTTTATGGTACTTGGAGTTTGATTCAAATCTGTAGCTTCCCAAAGTTCAGGTTAGATTGTTTTCTTAACTCAAATGGTTTGTGGAGGAAAAGATTCAGACTGGAAACATTAAATCCAAATCTGGGTATGAATCCCCCTAATTGGCACGTGCCTGTATATAGAGAGATGTATACGCGTTTATGAACATTTAGAATTTGCATAGCTGAGGAATCAATGAACAGAAAAATCCTGCTCTAAAGTTGCATGTACAAAGCTAAAGCTGCCTCTGAATAAACCTATGTCCAAAACATACACATTTGTGTATGTGCATACTTATTTCACAAGAATGCTTGAAAGATCTATTGAAACAGATGCCTAACTCATAGCAGCAATGTAATCTTACGTCTGCTGGTTTTGTTTAAAAGATATGTAAGCCTTTATAACTGTTACAAAATCACACTTAAAATGGGGTTAAAACCTATCCAGACCTGTATGTTAATTATTAGAATACCTATATCTGTGTAATACATTTCAGAATGTGTGAAGAGAAGAAAGGAAAAGTAAGTGTTTACAATCTCTGCTCTTTTTGTCATGTGATACAGTATGTAAGTCTAACTCATTCTGAGATAAAAGAAATTTTTCCTTTTATTTCCAATTACTTCCATAAGCTATGGAGTATTGTTTGAATGAACTTGTAGCCATAAAATGAACTTGCCTTTTTTTTTTTCTTTTTTTTTTTCCTCTTTACGTTTTGTGGTGAAAACATCATCTATTCATCTAATAAAAGAAAGAATACCAAAGGGAGGGGAACAATGTATGAAGTAGGTATCTTCTGTCATTTGGTGTTTTTGCTTTGCGAATAGAGGACAATGGTGGAAATAGATATTTTCACCTTTTTAAAATTTTAATAGTGTTATTTCTGCAGATAGTGTAATTTGTGCAGGGAAAAAGAAACCGACTTCCTCTGCCTGGGTTGTTTTTTTGTTGTTGTTAATGATGCATTGGCCTCCTTCCCACAGACATTCACGTTGGCAATCTGTGCAGGACAAAGGTTCGTTCCCCATTCTGGAGAAAAGATATGACTCAACATTGTATAATTCCTTTTGAATTGATTTTACTTTTATAGACTTGCCTCTCTAATCTATGAAGGAAAAAAACCCCATTGGCTCAGAGGATGAACTGACATTTCTATTACTGAGGATTTCATTCCAAAAAGTTGATGGAACTCCTAAAGCTCCAGATGGGATAAACCAGTTAAAACTGAGCAATATAGTGAAAAAAATCTTTCATTAGCAAACAAGAGGATTGCAAAGTCTTTCCCATCACTTCATTTTTAAGTTTCAGTGAGACCTTAGTATTTGTTCCTTAACCTACTGTACCTATTGTGCTAAGAACCACCAAGGGAAAGAAGACGACTCTGATGTGTCCTGTAGAAAACGAAAGGTCTTGCATTTGGTGTCTCAGTGGACTTCTCTCTACAAAGATTGGTTACATGAAGATGAGCATTTAAAACAATTTTTAAAGGTATTGAAACACTTCTCAGCGCTGTTTAATTAATATACTGTGTCTAAAAAGCCCCAACAGCAAAAATCTGTAAAGCGTAATTTTTCATACTTAAATTTTTTCCATGAAATCTATAATAAAAAAATGATTTACATGTGTCTTCCTTGCATGCCTTGGAGGTAGTCAGTTTGAACAGAAAATCTGCAATGTCAATACATTCAGCGTCAAAAACATTACTTTCAGATATGAAACTTACTGAACTCCATGGTCTCTAGAAAATGGGAAAATTTAGGAAGGTAAGAGAACTATAAAGACCTCTAGGTTCCTTGGACACTCTGGTTGTGTCTGCCAGAACAGGGTCTACAGTCATTATCCAGGGGATCACAGATAAAGAGCTTTGTGGTCCTTGTAAGACATGCTACTTTGACTGAGTGAAACGCTATTCCACAGTGTTTGTCAGGTGCACACAGAGCGCAGTACTGCTTTATGTATTTTTAATAAATAAAATTATGTTCTTACTTATTAGCAAGGATCTTCTGATCTTTCTGAAGGAGTCCCAAAAGCTTTTATAACTCCCTTGTAAATTTGCAAATAGCCATGTCATCACTGACCCAAGATCCATCTGGTTGTTGGGTTTTTGGTTTTTGTTTTTTTTTTTTCCCCTGCTTGTTGAAAGATGAAAGTATTTTAGGAGACTTTGCAGGATCTTCCACGTTTCCTGGTGAGATTCTTTGTCTGCAACTGGAGATTTTCTTAAGGGCCTTTTTGTTCTCTTCAATCATTTGCTCGAGACAGGGGGATGAAACTTTGAACTAAATTTGAAGAAAGTCTTGTGCTTCCTGTTTTGTTTTGGTTTTGGACTAGGACACACTGCATATGGAAGCAGAGACCTTCGTATTTTTGCTGTTTGGTGCTAGGTGTGTACTGGAAAGTGGGCATCATTGCAGCTGTCAGGTTACACTGCGTTGCACCTACCTTGATGCAGGACTTGTCTTTATGGCCATGGAGGTGTGTGACTGTGTGTTGTCACACAGCTGCTCTGCTTGAGGCTTCTGTGCAATGTTAAACAGCAATAATGTTAATGACGGTTGAATATACGTGCAAACACAATATATAGGATTGTAGGCCAGAACCACTCATGCTGAAATTTATGAAGTAGGAGTGTTAATTGGGCTGAAGCAAACCTGATGACTCAGGATCACACATACGATCCTCATTTTCTTAGAAGAGAAAGAGAAGAATCTATGTGCAGATTCTGAAAAAGTCTAGAGAAAATATTTCCTACAATTTCAATCATGAAAGCCGATACAGTTTATTTATCTCTTATCTGACGTAGTGACTTTTACATTTAACTGAGGTTCCTGATCGATGATACTCAGATAATGCCTCCCCCAAAAATAAGAAGCAGGGTTGGTTTGTTAAATTTCTCTATTTATTTATTTATTTATTGTTGTACAACTAGGAGTATGTTGTTATTGGCTTGTGAGAGACATCAACTCAATTTAAAATGCATGCAAGTGTGAGAAAAAGTGAAGTTTTAAGTGTCGTAATCAAATGAACCTGTTTGTTACCATTTTTGGATAAGTGATGTTGTGGTATGTTCTCATGCTTGAGGATGTGTTCTTCTGACCTAACCCAGATTTCACATTAACAGCCACAAGTGCCATTTTAAATCTTCCTGTTGCAGACTAATGAGTGTCAACATTTAGCCCTCTCGCTTGCTGATGATAGAAAGAGTTTTTCACCAAAGGCAAGCTGAATATTGACCCATCTGGAAATTTAAACAGGAGCATTCTCTCCTTATGGGACTTGCATAAATACAATAAATAAATTTTGGTTTTGTAGGCTAGTGCCTGAATTGATTGACACCACTGATGTGATGCCTTAGATTTATGTTTGAGTTATCAGATGTTTGCAAATACTGTTTTGTTTTGTAGACGATATACAGGAATGTGTTAGATGATGTATATGAATATCCCATTCTTGAGAAGGAACTGAAAGAATTTCAGAAGATACTTGGCATGCATCGTCGTCAGTAAGTATTGATTATATTTGTGATCAAGTCTGCTTTTATTTAGAGTGTAACTTATTTTTGTTGTACCTTGCTGTAATTCAGGAAGGATAAAGTGATGAGTGATACAAGTACCATATTCATTTTTATAAATCATGTCGTCTTTAAACTAAAGCTAGATTATTCAGTCTTCTCTGATGTTTGCTGGGTGGTGTGTGGTTCAAAAAAAAGTTCAGCAGTGACTCCCCTCAATTTTGCTTGGGATGACTTGCAAGTAGAGTGATGCTTTGTGGAAAAGCTGGTGAAATTTCCCTCAGAAGCTGCAGTCTGTGATTTCAGATGGTACATTCATTCTCATTCTCTCTCTGCAATCTGCAGTACTGAGAAGCAAGTCTCTCTTGCAATACTTGTCTCAGGGTTATTATTTTACTAATAATTATGGTATTTATAAAAGATACTTCCTTGACACATTTTTCCAACAAATGGAGTTTGTTTCTGTGGTTTGACTGTTGGGGAAATGGAAAGAGCTGTGTCCTTGAGGGTGACCCTGGCTGCTTACCCCGGGGGCCCAAGCTGTGTCCGTGTTCTCGGGCAGCTCACGGGCTGCATTGCTTGTCACTACATCAATTGTGCCACTCACAGAAAAGTTTTCTGGCTGAGCCAGGCACCCTTAGCTTTCCCTGAAGGAGGTCTGCAGCCATTCTGCGGTGGCCATTTAATGTTAAAAACTTTGTGACGTTGTAAACTTTGTAATAGCTAAAACTTCCTTTTCCTAATCTTTGGCTGGAAAGAATAATTTGGATTTTCCTTTTTGTTTCAGCACTGTAGATGAGTATTCACCTCACCGAAAGGTAATGCAAACCTGATCGTTGCTGGTTGCTAGATAACTTCTCATCTCACTTTCTCCCCTTCTGCCCACTTCACTCTCTTTTCTTGGCTTCTCAATTGAAAGTGACTGGTGGCCAAAAACATGACAGGATACATCAGCGAGGTTAGGCCTGCAACATTAAGGATTTTTTTTTTTTTTCTGCCAGTGCAGCTTGGATATCAGCTGTGTGAGCTAACCTGCAATGGCTGTGGCACTATTAGCATCTTAATAAGATGCTCTGAGATGTCAACATTCAGGAGAGGCCTGGGAGCATGTTCCCACCAGGCTGGGGAGATCTATCAACCTGGGCAAACCAGGCTGAGCACAGGCATTGACTGTGGATGTCAAGTAGACAGGGCACAGCGGGGGATTTGTTGTGACAGGGACAGAGAAAGAAAGAGAGGAACAGGAATCTATTTAACCAGAGGGAGAAGATGCAGCCAGAGAAAGTTGGCATACAAACTGCACAGAGGTGAGTTGCTGTGCTTGTGAAATTTACTGGGCTGAAGTGTGTAATAAGCTTAAAATGTTACTGCAGAGATGTGGAAGGCAGAACATGAGATTGTAGTGAAATTGCTAAATAGGCTGATTGGTACATAGGAAAGAATAAGTGTATAAGATACAGGCTCTGAACATGGCTACAGAGAACCTTGGACTGTGCGGGCAGCTTAGCCTGGGCATGTCCCACTTCCTCCAAAATCCCCACCGTGGCCACTGTTTAGTAAGGCAGCTCCCAGTTCACTGATCCAAGACAGGGTGGGTGGATTTCCTATACAGAAACCTTTTTGGCCAGATGTATGGGGCTGAATGCTGTGTGTTGTGTGAATTACTGCTTTGTAAAGGGCAGGGGTGCAGAGAGTCACTGTTGTAATTTTTTTTTTTTTTTTTCCTTCTGCCACACTCCCTCACAGAATAAAACCTTTTTCCACCACTTCAGCCTAAAGGAGAACTGGCTGCAGCACAGAGGAACCATGAATGAAACAGAAGAAAGTAAGTATGAATGAAAGAGTGGACGAGAAACTCCAAAACTGCAAAATTGTTTCTCAAGAGCTGCCCATAATGTACATTTTTTTTCGACTGACACACAGCTTCTGAACAGGACCTCAGGGCCACAAAAGAAGAAAGATTTGATTGTGTAAGGTTACCTTTCCACCTCCTACTCTGCAGGGGTTCAGC